ACTTAAGTGTTTAGTTATTTATTATTTTGCTAAGTTTTAACTACATTGCGCTAATCTCATATTAGTGTAGATTAGTTCATTATGAATTTATTTAATGTGAATCAGTGGTATATTTGTTTACATAAATCTTGTTGTTCGACACTAAGTTAATCATGATATCTTGAATCAGTTAAAAACTTTAACGTACAGTAAATTTTGATAAAGAATGCTAAGGCAATCAATGTGATTATATAATTTGATGATTAACTTACCCTGGTTATGATCTTGATAATTTAAACTTGCAAGTAATTTAATTTTTCTACTGTTACTCTTTAATGTTGTCTTATGTATTTCAGAATGTAATATTTGAATATTAATTCCAGGTTTATATACTCTGATGTAAAGTTAGTGTTTGTAGAAAATCATAAAAAACATTATTAAAATGTGTTTGCTTTGTTTATATTTGCCTTAGTTAACTTACTGATAATGTGTTAGATACTGTTTTAAAAACCTTTCATGAATTTGAATCAAAAACAAAAGGTTTCACAGATAATGTACAGACAAATAAAACTAGGGTACAAGCTATAATATGGGAATGGTAAGTATAGAACATACATGTTAGGGGTATGTCATCTATCACATTATCCTCTATTCTCAAGCTTTTGGAAATAATGAAAAAATTAAGTATTAACTCCAGTCTGTAACTGTAATGACACTGCTCTGGTTCCACTATCACAGTCTGTAACTGTAATGACACTGCTCTGGTTCCACTATCACAGTCTGTAACTGTAATGACACTGCTCTGGTTCCACTATCACAGTCTGTAACTGTAATGACACTGCTCTGGTTCCACTATCACAGTCTGTAACTGTAATGACACTGCTCTGGTTCCACTATCAATGACATTAGTGTCTAGTAGGAAATTCCAATCCAATCATGGTTATGCCAATATTGGAGCTTCTAATAAAGCAACCTTCAGAGACTGTTTGTTAGTTATGAATTTCGTGCAAAGCTACACGAGGGATATCTGTGCTAGCCGTCCCTAATTTAGCAGTGTAAGACTAGAGGGAAGGTAGCTAGTCATCACCACCCACCGCCAACTCTTGGGCTACTCTTTTACCAACAAATAGTGGGATTGACCGTTACATTATAATGCCCCAACAGCTGAAATAGCGAGCATGTTTGGAGTGATGGGGATTTAAACCTGTGACCCGCAGATTGTGAGTCGAGCGCCCTAACCACCTGGCCATTTCAGAGACTGAAATGCTTGCTAGAATTTTCCTTACTCCATCTGAAGTGTGTCTTCACCTTAGTCAGAGCTAATAATGGTGTGGCAATCTTGGAGAATTTGGCCACAAACCATTAGAACTATGACATGAAACCAAGTAAACTGTAGACTTCTCATTTAGTTACAGGTTCAGGCCAACCTCACATCAGTGTATTTTAGCAGGATCCATGGAAACTCCTTCTCTACCTACAGCATGACCAAGAAATTCATCACACATAAAGACACATTTTTCTTGTTTCAACTTCAACCTTATCTTTTGTTATCTGCTGTAATACTATTTTAAGTATCTGAGCTGTAGACCCGAATGTACAACCAAACACCAATATGTTGACATAGATTATGCACTTCACCCATTACAGTTCCTTCAGTGTAAGCTCTGGTTATCTGCTGTAATACTATTTTAAGTATCTGAGCTGTAGACCCGAATGTACAACCAAACACTAATATGTTGACATAGATTATGCACTTCACCCATTACAGTTCCTTCAGTGTAAGCTCTGTTATCTTCTCAGATGTGCAAGGCATGTTACACATGCCTAGTGGCATGAGGTGAAACTCATGAAAGCCATCTCTTGTGCTGAAAACAATTTTGACCCCGCTTTTATCATCCAATTTGACTTACCAGTATCCATATTTCAGGTTTAAAGTGTTGATCCAACGAGTTCTGTTTGCAATAATGGAAATACATCAATGCGTTTTGTCACATTCATCTGTCTAAACTCAATACAAAACCTGGGCATACCCTCCTTCCTGATATTGTGCTGAACAAGGAAGTTGGTCCAGGTTTAGAAGAAACATAGTGTTTTATAAACTCTGGGTGTTTTAAGTCTAGCTGGCGCTGAAGGAATCCAAATGATTATGTAGTATACAAGTTTGCCCAAACTTCAACTCAGAAGTAAATGGATATACATTACTGAATAAATGTCAGTAACAAACTTCAGTGATTTGTTGCTGAATACTAAAAGTAGTTTAACTGTTCTTCAGTTTGCTTCCAATTGTGATTGACTAGCATCCTTATTTTTTTTCAAGTTCAAACTTTTAGTTCATAGCTCCGTCATCTCTTGCTCGATTTGAGATCTAATTACAGTTTTGGGCTCAGGAGGTCAAACCCTTTCGATCAAGGTATTTAACCAAGCCCAAGGTCTCATAGGTTAATTTACTCTAATCCTGCCTAAAAGAATTTCAATATAATGGGAAGGCTGATAGAGATCCTGACGAGTAATAAAATTGAATCGGGTATACGAGCACTCCACGCTTATTGCTGGCACACAAAAAATATAGCTAATTAAAAGGGGAAAAAAAAAGGTCTCACATAATAATTCACTCTAATCCTACCTAAAAGAATTTCAAGTGCCATGGCTATTGAATATTCCCCCTTGTTTCTTAAGATTGTTTATGGAAAATGTATAAATTCAAGTGTGCTGCACTTTTAAAACATGAAACTTTACTTATACTTCCTTTCCAGACACTGACTGTGAAAGTTGATATTGACTTGAAGACAACAGATGGGCCCTGGTTGCTAACTTGGGGAGAATAGCTGGAAAGTTTTGAGATGTAGTCAGAAGATGTGTAAATTTTCATCGGTATATTATTAACAGACGTACAGAGAAGAAGAGTTTATTTCATGTAATAATAATCAGAATTAGATCAATAAGACAAAATATTTTCTTTACCTCTATTTTTTGTATAAAAACATACATCTTTATGTATTAAAGTTTCAAGTTTGTGTTAACTTTACATGATTACAATCAAAGATTTATTTTTACACAACTGATTTAAAATTCACTGAGGTCAATTCACACAATGTTTTCAACATTACGTAATTGTTACAGTATTGTAGAAACTACATATCATTATAAAATGAATTGTCGCTCATTTACCTCTCATCAAAACCATTATCACTTATTTCTGAATCCAGCTTCTACTGTATTACAGCAGGCTTTACGATATTGAAAAAATCACAGAGTGTTATGTGATAAGATAGTGTAATGTGGTGCCTAAAATCTAGGGGTGTCACGACACAGTGATACGATACAATTTATGTATCTTCACGACATTTGGCAAGCTTTCAGTAAATATTATAAATGTACAGAAAAAAATCTGAATTTCTAACTTTTTATTTATTTTATTTCTCTTGCCAGCTGCCATTTAGTTGATCAAACCTGAGAATTTTAAAAATCACTGTAAAGTGTAAAGTACTTAAATAAGACAATGTTAGTAATATAGATAATAAATTACAGACAGGACTGTTAAACTTTGTAACAAATCATTGGTAAAACTATTGTATCTAGATACGTATCGACTACTATAATGAGATACACACCCCTACTAAAATCACCATACACAAGTGTATCTACATATAATATCTGTTCTATTGAAATTGCAATGTTAGAGATTATGCGCCTTTTGTTTTGTTTTTTCACTATACGAAGTTTAATATTCTGTGACATAAAATACATACTAAAATACAAAACACAATCCAAGTGAATTAAAACTTTTATGAAGTATTTACTTTTTAACTACAGATCAAATCGTAATGTTGTAATCTGACACTCATCTACTGCTTTTTACTAGTTTTTCTACTTAGTGTCATTAACAAAATGTATAACCTTTACATTACCAGTGTTAATAAATGCCATATTTTCAATAATGTTTAAGTACATATCTTAGGCCACGTTTTTTTTATATATTTATGTAATGCAAATGAATTTTATGTAATCTGATATATAATATTTTGTTCAAAAATCGATTCTCATATAAAGTTCAATGGAATAAATGTTTTGATTTATTTTATACTGCTTTAGAGGAACTTGCACGTTTTAAAATAATTAGTTTAAAATATATATATATTATTTTAATGTTTTAACCTATATATTTTAAGTATAGTATAGAATTGTGAAAGATTTTATAATATATGAAGCGAAATGAAAACTTAACTTCTGAATAACAATTGTGTATGTAAATATATATATATTCTTTAAGTTGGTTGGTTGTTTTTAGAGCAAAGCGACATTGGGCTATCTACCGTGTCGGGAAATAGAACCCTGTATTTTTGTGTTGTAAGCCCTTAAACTTACTGCTGTCTCACTGGAGGACATTTTTTATGTGCTTGAACTCGTATCATCCTCACAAAACTTCAAATCTAAAACACGGCTTCACAATCGAGGAGCTGAAGCATGTTATACCATAATTAATATGGGTGAAAAGGCCTTTAGACAGTTCGTATATCTATAGATAAACACAACACTATTTCTAGAATGTTAAGATATTTTTAATTGATAAAAGGAGTTTGAATGTCTCAATTACATTTTCAGAATTACAAAATAATTAATGTTTCAATTATTCACATTTAACAATTAATAAAATTCCTGAAAATAGTAAATATAAAGTGTTCATTTTCAAAGTATGTTAGTATAATACATCCAAAATCCAAACATGATACGAAAGTCCAGCAAAACTAACAAAGGTGAATTTAAAATTATTAGTGATAACATACTCACTCAATTTCGTGTAGAAAATTCATTTTTACTAAAGTATTCTCCCAACTGAATGCTTGTACCATTGCATTGAGAAACGTTTTCATACATTTTGATTCAATTATTCTGTATTATTTCAAGATGTTATTTTCCTATACATGAATGGAGATGGAAAAATGTCACTACCTTTTCAGTAAAAAAATTTAAATATATATTGAAAATAATCAATATAATAGTAAAGCAGAGTTAAAAGACAATTGCGTAAATACACAACAGGCTTGTTTATTGACAACTCTAATACAATAAAGTTTAAACAGGGACACAAACAAAAATTACATTAACACACTGTTTTTTTCTAGGAAAATGAAACGGTATTATCATCTACATCTCTTCATACAATCTAAATAAAGGAACAGCAAAGACAAACAAAAAACTTATAAAATATTTTTAGGTGAAAAATTATTTCTGAATTTATTTGTTTTTTTAAATTGTTAATATTTTGTGCACAAGTTGTTTAAAAATAGGTGTCTTCATCATCATTGTAGTACAGCTGAAAGAAAAGAAAGAGATTATTAGTTCTTTCATAAGCACATAAATAAAAGGCTTCCACTACAAATAAAAAACAAAACAATCGTATGAGAAATTTACAATGCTGTAAAGAATATCAATTTCATCTATGTTGAGTGTATTACAATAAAACCCAACACTAGAAGCATCTTAGTAGTTTTTCTCATAATTATTTTATTCCTGGAAACAAATCCATAAGAAACCACATGAATAAAAAACTTAATGAAATATAGGACTTGCTTTTAGACAGTAGGAGGTTTAACTGCTTCAGAGATGTTGTTTAAATAGGACACAATTAATATCACTCAAGTTTTCTCTTAAAAAATGATCAGTGAAGTATTTAGTTCAAGAAAAACATTTTATTACCTAAAAATGTTTGTATGGTCAAGTAGGAATATCACCTACAGTCATGTTTATGGCTAAATAACAATTGATTTTTAATAATTATTTTAATAAAATTTTAATAATTTTTTATAAGTTTCATTACAACCATCATCAACAGAAATAATTATTTATAATGTAATATTTTTGTAATATTTTTAAGCAAAATCCACATAATACATTTGGAAAAACTTTATGAAATAAAAAGTACTAACTATTATATATTTTAAGAGAAAAAAAATAAAAGATCCTCTTACTCTGAGCACATATTTGTGTAAATGCTTCAGCTTTAACTTGCAAGGAAGTTTATAATTTTAATCCCTATGATTAGGTTTAATGAACACAAAAAGTGTGTTTGGTGTTTTGAATAATTATTATCTTTGAGCTTCTTTGTTGATATTGGTTATCTACATTACGTATCAGTAGACAATCACTGAAAAATACCAGGAACTTTTGTATTTGTTGTTAAGCACAAAGCTATGGAATGGGCTATTTGTGCTCTACCAAGAAATATGAGTTACCAGCAACCATAATATGTAATAACATTTAAAATAGATAATGCAAATATTTTATTTAAATATCCTACAAAACTGGTTTTAATGTCCTCTCATTTGTTTGTAAGCCTAATCAGTCTCATTAAAACGAACCAAACCATTTGTTAACTGTGATTTATGGCTAATATCGTAACTTTAGTTATAAATGCTCTTAACGTTTTAGCTGTATAAGAAAATTAAGTTTAGATGCCCCTACAAGCCAGAACCTGAATTTTGATCCATAAAGATGTTCTAAGAATTAATAAAAGTAGGCTCAATCAAGATTTATTTTAAATTACCATTTAATGAATTAATTTTGTTTTGACTAGTGATAAGATACTTAACTGTGATGGCAAAAAAATGTTGCTTTCATAGTTTTACATGTGTATCAGGATTCAAAATTAATTTATAATTATAGAAGGTATGGCACATTTATTTTAACCACACCTAGTGATGAAAAACAATTTTTCATACCGACACTTCTTGTTTTGTATGTGCCTATCAAGTTTATGTTTGCAGGTCTACACTAAAGTGAAACAACATTTCATAAATTTTTTAATCTGTGGTTCTTTCTATTGGGCAGAAAATTAACTTTCCTACAAAAGACTTTTGAGTTTGTACAATAATAATAGGTGATTGTACTCTCAGTTTACCAAAAATATTTTTGCAGTGATGTATTTATATCCTGATAAAGTTCTAGGATTAACTGAGCTGAAGACAGATTATTTTACCTTTGGTCCCAGAAAAGTAATTTATTACTAGCTGCTTTTATTAAAATTTATGTCAAATCACATATATTTATAAATTAAAACTGCTACTGATCTCTGAAAGCTAGATATAGGCAGCAATCTTACTGTGTAAGGAACCTTTGGTGAGATAGGGTTACAAGGCTGACAGACAGTCTTAGCTACATAATCTTGCCCGGCTTCACATCTACAATCTTGACACTGGGCAATCTTAGCTGTTTTCACCAAACGTCTTGCAAATAAGCTCTTCCAAGTTTTGCTACGTTCCTTACGTCTACTGAAAACACTCCCATGAACTTCCTGGGCCAAAGCTATACACATGTCTTTTGGAATGGCAACTTGACTTCGCAACTCTGGTCTACCAATTAACTCTTTTTGTGTGATGTCTTTTTCACTGTAAACAGTGTCTGCATCCACACCTATAAAAATTTGAAAAAATATAAAGTTAATTTACTTTTATATCTTATATGGCACTAATCTTAGTAACATGATATGAACAAAAAACAGAGTGCAAACATACATGTATTACATTTTTTTTATCACAAAACAACATTAGTAATTACAATTTTTACCTTCATTTACTTTTGTTGTAAGTTAAGAAAAAAAATCGTGATCATTAGAGACTGCTACTTTTCTGAAATACTAATGGTCAGAGATGTGGAAAACATCTAATATTCTGATATAACTGCCCAAATAAATCTCTATCTACTTAGAAATATACCTAAACAATTGAAGAAACAGCTGAAAAGTTTTAAAAGAATTATTATTTTCATGGATAAAGTTAAAATATGGTCTCAAACTTAAAACATCTGAGATTTTCAAACCTTTTACCTAAATCATGACAAATGGGTAGGCACATTTTATCTTATTCAAAGATGTTGTTAACCTCTCGTAAAAAAACTTACCATAAATTCCTCTTCCTTTACTGAAACTACCTTTAATGTTGATATCTACATCTGTCAGGGTATGTAAAGTGATACCTTGATGAAGCAATGTATGTTGAATTTCAGCGTATCTCCACTGTCAGAAACAGAATAAATTATCTAAAATTATTTTAGGGAAAGATAATCTTTAGTGTAAGTCTAAAAACAAAATTAAGTGGAAATACTCATTGATTTTTTAAAATATATTTGAGATCATCCCTTTCTATCTATAAAAGGATTATTAAGGATAATAATTATAATCATGAATAACAATATTTATTATTATTATAGGTATACATACATACAAAGTAAAAATTATTTAATAATTATGACACAATTTGGATTTAATTTAATTTTACAGTATATTAATATGGTGAGGGCACAGAGATTTAATACTACCTTTTTTAGAATTTGTAGGGTTAATCCCATTTTACGTTTTCCTAATAGTAATAATTACTGACCTTAACATTCTTAGTTTTATTATGCTGTTCATATGGATATGTGATTATGATGGGGGTAATTTCGGGTGATAAGTTTGACTTATCATTCTTTAATGGTGGTCTGATTGTAGTTACATGTTTTGTTTTTAACTCTTAATTTCATTTTCTTTCCTTATACATATACCTATATAAAATTTAAGGACATCAAGGGACCTATTGGCTATCACATCCACTATGCTAAACTCTAAAATAAAAATAAGACACTCAAAATCAATTCTTATCATTCAAATATTTATCAAGCCTTCCCAACTTCGTTAGATTAACTACATCTGAAGGCAACCATTTTCAAAATCCAACCACCCTGTTAGAAAAATAAAGCTGTCTTAACTGAAGATGGCTCCTACCCTGCCAAAATTTATATATTTTTGTCCCCTAATCTTACTATTCTCACCATTAACTATATAAAAAAAATGATGCATCAACATTATCAATCTCCTTAACAATCCTAAACACCTCAATCTTCTCTGCTTGAGCGTTCACCTTGACCTTTGTATCCATTCTCTCTTGTTAAGTTGCCTCTGGCGTTGTATCCTTCATACTACTATATACCGTTGCCTGGGGCCATGTGGACGACTTTTGCTCTGACCATTGTGTTTGTGGATTATCACCTGTTGTACGATTAAATACTACTTCGACAGTGCTATTTATCCAGCATGCTGCCATCTTTCAGGTTTCTTAAAATTCATCAAACGTGAACTTTCTAGGAAACAAGTAACACCAAAGGTGTTTTATGAGACAACAACTGCAAACAGTTCTTTCTTCATTGTTCAGTGTCTACTTTGAGAGGAAACAAGTAACACCAAAGGTGTTTTATGAGACAACAACTGCAAACAGTTCTTTCTTCATTGTTCAGTGTCTACTTTGAGAGGAAACAAGTAACACCAAAGGTGTTTTATAAGATAACAACTGCAAACAGTTCTTTCTTCATTGTTCAGTGTCTACTTTGAGGAACTATGACTAGCATAAGGGATTACATATTTTAACACAAAAAAGAATAGCCGAAACGCTAAATTATGAGTGATACAATTTTTCTTGGATATTCTTTTTAAACAAAATTTGGGCCCGGCATGGCTAGGTGGTTAGGACGCTCGACTCGCAATCTGAGGGTCGCGGGTTCGAATCCCCGTCACACTTAACATGCTCGCCCTTTCAGCCGTGGGGGCGTTATAATGTGACGGTCAATCCCACTATTCGTTGGTAAAAGAGTAGCCCAAAAGTTGGCGGTGGGTGATGATGACTAGTTGCCTTCCCTCTAATCTTACACTGCTAAATTAGGGATGGCTAGCGCAGATAGCCCTCGTGTAGCGTTGCGCGAAGTTCAAAACAAACTAAACAAAATTTGTTACGGGCTTTTATAGTTAAAGTAAGTAAATTTTGGATTTCAAACTATACTAATAAAAGTTTTGAGTTAAAAACATCTCAAAGGGTTTCAATATGGTAAATTGAAAGGGCGCCCTTGACAATAGTCTGTAACGCAATTTCCACTACCAAAGGTTACCATGTCCAGAGTATACAACTCTTCCTGACACACTTTCCACAGATCGTCTAGTTTATGAGTACAGTGGCTGCCTACTGCCAGTTTCAACAGTCTGATCGCACAGAAATCCATAATTACTGCATTCAGTGGCTTTATTTAAAATGTGCGAGGCTTAAATTAAATGTATGACAAGAAGCGCTATTTTGGTAAACCCATACCCTGTCGGCTTCGTTTCCGTACAAAGTCGATATTTCTGTGTGGTATAAAGGACCCAAAACATTGGTCTGATAGTAAGCAATTATTGTTATAATTTGCTGTTTTACTAGTGTGAATAGAATTATTCTTGTAGTTTGCTGTTTTACTAGTGTGAATATAGAATTATTGTTGTACTTTGCTGTTTTACTAGTGTGAATATAGAATTATTCTTGTAGTTTGCTGTTTTACTAATGTGAATATAGAATTATTGTTATAATTTGCTGTTTTACTAGTGTGAATATAGAATTATTCTTGTAGTTTGCTGTTTTACTAGTGTGAATATAGAATTATTCTTGTAGTTTGCTGTTTTACTAGTGTGAATATAGAATTATTGTTGTAGTTGATATAGAGTTAAATTTTTTTTCCCGACTTAGCAAACACTAACAATAACTAAAAAGGCGTCCTCGAAAGGCCTCGTGCATATCAGCCATTTGAATGATATTTATATCTTTGGGGTGGTTAACAAACCTGGAACCGTGACTTTCAATGGAAAAACGATAGCGAATAAATACACGGAAGCTCTTATGGTAAGCAGGAAATAATTTATTATTGTTTTGTGTATTTTTATAACTGTCAGAGTATCTGATTTTAAACAACTTGCCTGTTATAATATCTTTATATGTTGATATTTAAGGATTGAATGTTTAGAATCTTCTTGGTTCTCTCTTCAAATATTAATAAACAATCAACAACAAATCAAATATTAGTAAACTTTTATTTATTTTTTACAGAAACAAACTTCTTACGTATGTTATTTTTCCCATCAAAGTTAAAAAAAACTGGTTATTTCTTAAGTTATGTTTAAAGCTGGTAAAAGAATAATAAGTTGACCTGTACAGAAACACGTGCTGATTGTGAAGACGATGAATATTCTCTTGTTTTTTTTACTACGTGAGTTATAAACTAAGAACTCGTTTTTATTTATTTGTACACTTTCTTCATTATATTAAATATCTCCAGCTTCAATTAAAATATTTAAGTTTAACTAAGCTTTTATCTATGTATTAACACCCTCGTTGTTCATGTGTTTCATAAACCGATTTCAGTTGTTCGCAGATATAAACACACTGCTAAAATCTCGTTTTATCTTTCTTGCTTTTGATAAACATCTTGAGATCCGTCATTATTTGAATACTCCAGTAATTTATTGCTATTATATTTAACAGATAATCATTCTAACGTCTCATTTTAGGCGTAACAACTGTTTAGAAAGGAAAAGAGGGAGAATGTATATCATTTCATAAGTGAACATAAAAGTCACGAAAGAGCCATTTGGTAGCTACAAATTACATATATTCACATTAGTAAAACAACAAACTACAACAATAATTATATATTTACATTAGTAAAACAACAAACTACAACAATAATTCTATATTCACACTAGTAAAACAGCAAACTACAAGAATAATTCTATATTCACACTAGTAAAACAGCAAAGTACAACAATAATTCTATATTCACACTAGTAAAACAGCAAAGTACAACAATAATTCTATATTCACATTAGTAAAACAGCAAATTATAACAATAATTCTATATTCACACTAGTAAAACAGCAAACTACAACAATAATTCTATATTCACATTAGTAAAACAACAAACTACAACAATAATTCTACATTCACATTAGTAAAACAGCAAATTATAACAATAATTCTATATTCACACTAGTAAAACAACAAACTACAACAATAATTCTACATTCACATTAGTAAAACAGCAAATTATAACAATAATTCTATATTCATATTAGTAAAACAACAAACTACAACAATAATTCTATATTCACATTAGTAAAACAACAAACTACAACAATAATTCTATATTCACATTAGTAAA